ATCCTGGTCAGTCTCCCCCTGCACCCTGCCCAGTGCTATCACATCCTTCCTATAATGTGGATTCCAGAACTGCACGCAATATGGGGTAACTGAACCAACATTTTATGCAATTCAGCAAATCTTTCCTGGTCTTAAACTCCAAGTCTCAACTAATGAAGGCAAGTATCTAGCCAATCAACACCCTCGTCCGTCCAGCCAATCAAAATCCCCACTGCTCTTTCTCTCTCTCACACTCTCGGTCTCAATCTCTCACTGTCTGGTTTCCCACTCCCAACCACCAGCTCTGCCTCTCCTATCTCTCACGTTCATAGAATAACCAACGTTTAAGAAGCATTTAAACAGACCCAGGAATAGGCAGGGAACTGTGACGTGAACCACATATAGGCAGCTGTGATTAGTAGGGCAATATGGTCAACACAGACATGGTGGGCTGAAGGGCCTGTTCCTTCACTATATTGTTCAATGTTCTCCACTCTAACCACCTTCTCAAGGACAATGTGGGATGGATTAAAATGTTGGTGTAGCTAGTGATACACATATCACACAACTGCATAACAAAGGTTGGACGAGCAAGCAGAAGTGAATGTCCACTTTTAAATGTTGTGTCTGATCCCATGGAGCAGTTGGGAGCCCTGTGTCTCTGAGTTGGGGTACGCTGTGCTTTACTGGACAGTCAGTTGATGATGGCTGTGTTTCATTTCTATACAGGATAGATTTTCAGGAGTATTTGGAGTCTCGCCCTGACCATAAGCAGGAGTTTGTCACGCAGTGGCAGAACGATTATAATTCCATTGCTGAGGATCTCCGACATGATGAGGATGTGAAGGCAGAGCTGCTCCTGAGGCTTTATGTAAGTGACAGCTCACCCTGTCAGGAGCTTGTGATGATTACAGCCCTGAGGGCTCCTTATAAGACCACCTCTCACCAGCTCTCTGTATGAGACCCCGCTAACCCCACTGTCTCCCACCTTCCCCCCTCCCACCCCCCACCTCATCCCCGGTTTTGTGCGACTCCTCCCCTCCCCCAGGGCTGTGGAGACTGGGATATCATAGCTATCACATAAACATGTCTGAGGGACAGACAGGACTGGCAGATCAATGATCCAGGGTATAGATGCTATAGAAAGGATAGAGGCAGAGATAAGAGAGGAGAGGAAGTGCCATTTGTGATTAGGGAGAGCATTACTTAGAGACAGTATTCCTGAGGGATTGTCCAGTGAAGCTAAATGGGTGGAACTGAGAAATAAGAAGGAGGTGATCACCTTGATGGGATTGTGCTATAAACCCCCCGTTTTCAGTGAGAAACTGAGGAGCAAATATGTAGATAAAATTTCAGATATATGTAAAAATAATAGGCTTGTAATAATACCTTAATTTTCCAAACATAGACTGGGACTGCCGTAGTGCTAAGGTCTTGGATGGGGAGGAATTTGTTAAATGTGTCTAAGAAAATATAGATATACCTCCTAGAGAAGGACCGAAACTTTTGGGAAATGAAGCAGGGCACATGACTGAAGTGTCAGAGGGAGCACTTTGGGGCTAATGATCGTAATTCTATTAGTTTTAAAACAGTTATGGAAAAGCATAGGCCTTGAATAAAAGTTAAAGTTCTTAATTAGAGCAAGGCCAATTTTGAGAGTATTAGACAGAAACTTTCAGAAGTTGATTTGTGGGAAGCTGTTCGCAGGTAATGGAATAAGTAGATTTAGATTTAGGTTTTGTTGTTGCGTGTACTGAAGTTGGGGGTACAAGAGTACAGTGAAAAATGTCCAATGTTGCCACAGGTGGTGCCTGTTAGGTACAATGTACCTAGGTACAAAATCTTTGTTACAGAAATAGAAAAATAAAGAAATAAGTTGAAAAGTTTAGTGTATAAAAATGGGAGCCTTTCTAAAGTTTGATAATGAGTTCAGAGGCAGTCTGTTTGCGTTTGTGTGAAGGGCAAGGCTGGTACAAGCAGAGAACAATGGATGTCTCAAGATATTGTTGCTATGGTTAAGAAAAAGAGGGAGGCATATGTCAGGTATAGGCAGCTGGGGTCACATGAATCCCTGCAAGAGTATAAGGAGAGTAGGGGCATAACTTAGGAAATCAGTAGGACAAAAAGGGGACTTAAGGTAACCTTGGCAGATATGGTTAAGGAGAATCCAAAGAGATTCTACAAGTACATTAAGGGCAAAAGAGCAACTGGGGAGAGAATAGGGCCCCTTAAAGAATGATGAGGTTGTCTACATGTGGAACCACAGGAGATGGGAGAGATATTAAATGAATACTTTGCCTCAGTATTTACTGTGGAGGAAGGCATAGAAACTAAGGGGCTCAGAGAAATAAATATTGATATTTTGAAAAAAAACCTCATTACAGAAGAAGAGATGCTGGAGGTCTTAGAAAGCATACAGGTGGATAAATCTCTGGGACCTGATCAGGTGTATCCCAGGATGTTGTGGGAAGTAAGGGAAGAAATAACGAGGCCCCTAGCAGAGATATTTGCATCATCTGCAGCCATGGGTGAGGTGCCGGAGGACGGGAGGGTGGCTAATGTTGTGTCCTTATTTAAGAAAGGCTGTAAGGAGAAGCGTGGAACTGCAGACTGGTGAGTCTGACATCAGTGATGGGTAAAAGTTGTTGGAGGGGATTCTGAGAAAAAGGATTACATGTATTTGGAAAGGCAAGGACTGATTAGGGACAGTCAGCAATAGCTTTGCGTGTGGAAAATCATGTCTCTCAAACTTGATTGAGCTTTTTGAGGATGTGACCAAGAAGATAGATGAGGTCAGAGCAGAAGATGTTGTCTACATGGACTTTGATGTGGAGGTGTCAGTGTTGGAGTGGGGTGGACAAAGGTCAGAAGTTACACGACACCAGGTTATAGTCCAATAGGTTTATTTGAGATCACAAGCTTTCAGGGCCCTGCTGCTTCATCAGGTGAAGAGACCTGACAATGGAGCAGCATTCCGAAAGCTTGTGTCTTCAAATAAACCCGTTGGAGTATAACCTGGGGTTGTCTGAGCTTTGACTATGTGGACTTTAGCAAGGCCTTTGACAAGGTTCCATTTGGTTGACTAGTTAGTAAAGTTAGATCACATGGGATCCAGGGAGGACTTGCCAACTGGATACAGAATTGGCTTGACAGTAGGAGACAGAGGATGATGGTGGAGGGTTGGTGTTCAGACTGGAGGCCTGTGACCAGCAGTGTGCTGCAAGGATTGGTGTTGACGTCTGCTGTTAACATTAAAGGAGGCATGGTTAGTAAGTTTGTAGATGACACCAAAGTTGGTGCCATGGTCTTTTTATCGTTGACAAGATGCAACTTATTGGGTGTCAGAGGGTTCAGGCTCAGCTCCCAACTCTTTGCAATCTGTATTAATAACTTGGATGCAGGAATAGAATGTATTACAATCAAATCTGAAAATGACACAGAAATAGGTGGGAAAGGAAGAGGCAATAAAGAAATAGGAAATTTCCGAATGGATTTCGATGGCTTAGGTGAAAGGCCATATTCAGAGACGAAATTTACTAGATTGAATGGTGGAACAGGCTTGATGGGTGAAATGGCCTACATCTGTTCCTAGTTCGTATATTCCTTATGAGTCCTGTCAGACACAGCCCTCGGTCTCTGTGTGAGTACCTCAAAGTTGAGATTTCTGTGTGAGTCTTTCCAGGTCACACTCACCTCTGGGGTCAGTCTCAGAGTGAGCTCCTCCACCACCGCCCCCCCCCCCCCCCCGGGGCCCGCCGCCCCCTCCCCCCCCCCCCCCTCCACGGTCAGTGTGAGTGTGAGCTCTGTGTGGGTCTGTTTCTAACCAGTTCCCTCCAGGGTGATGCTCGCTGTCTGCCCACGAGTTGCGTGTACAGTGACTGTAGAGTGAGGGTGTGTGAACTTTCCCCAATCTCCCCTGTGGCTGGCTGTATCCATGTGAAATGAGGGAGTTTGTTCAGTCCGAATCCACATTACAGAGGAAATGGGCTTCCAGCCCTCTGCCTGTGTGCCTCTGATCTCCAAATTCACTGATTCCATTTATTTACTGTCTAGAACCTGCGAGAGCGTCTCTGGGACATTTCAGACAACAGGAAGGAAGAGGCCGAACGGGAGAGGATGAATATTATGGGCAATGGCTGGCTGGAGGATCATCTGGGTTTACTGCTAAACATTTACACAACCCTCATGCAGGTAGGAAAGCCCTCCCTTTCTCCCACCCTACTCCAGTGTGATGGAGTTTACATGCAGTGGTTGGAAGTGTACAGCTTGGCACTGACCCATACATATCAGCGATACCTTCTGAACAGGCTAAGGAAGCAACCAAGCTGAATTGGCAACTGAAAGCTGAGCACAATCTGAGACAATTCTTAGAAAGCTAGACAGGGATGGTTAACATAAATCATTTTCATTTTAACAGTGTTTTAAAATCAATTCCCGACCCCCAAAGCATGTCATAGCTGTGTTAAATGGAAGTCATATTTGCCGACAGCCTGCACCCCGCTTCCATAACTCTATTGGAGGGGGAGCAGACTGTGTGCCACCTTAAAGCTGTTTGAGATGGGGGTGGGGGGAGGCATCCCCAGGGTTCGAGTGGATTATCTGTCCCTCCAACACCATTTTAATCCTTCCCTTGTTTCCCCAGCTTTTGTGTTTTCGTTATGGTCACATTGCCCCTGGTGCGTTCACAGCTGATGGCCTTTTGGTGAACTGCAGTCCCTGTTAATGGAGCCAACCAATTCACACACAGCCATCCCACAAACAGCAGTGTGATCATGACCAGGTGATCTGCTTCGTGACAATGTAAAACAAAGAACTAGGGAGAAGGCCTCTGGGGGACAGTGGTAGTATCCCTGCCTCTGAGCCAGGAGGCCTGAGTTCAAGTCCCATCTGCTCTCGAGTAGGTCATGACGTCACTGTCCAGGTTGGTTAGTAAATAGGTTCTGAGGAAGGGTCACCAGGACCTGAAACATCAACTCTGATTTCTCTCCACAGATGCTACCAGACCTGCTGAGTTTTTCCAGCAAATTCTGTTTTTGTTAAAGACTTGGAGGTGCTGGAAATCTGAAACAAAAACAAAGTCTGGAATGTTATCGTTTATGTGAGAGGAAGTGAATGCAAAAGTCGGGGGGTTTATGCTTCAGTTATACAGAGCACTGGTGAGGCCATATCTGCAGTGCTGTGTGCAGGTCTAGTCTCCTTATTCACCAAAGGATGCAAGAACATTGCAAGCAGTTCAGACAAGGTTTACCAGACTGACAGTGAGAATGAGAGTGCTGTTGTTTGAGGAAAGTATGCACAGGTTGGTCTTGTATTCACTGGAGTTAACATGAACAAGAGGGTACTCAATTGAAAGATCCAAGATCCTGAGGGATCTTCACTGGGTGTCTCCTGTTATGGGAAAATTCACAATTGGAGACACCTTTGAATAAACCAGAGATCACCCATTTAAAACAGAGATGAGGCTTTTTCTCACAGAAGATTGTGAACCTTTCAAACTCTTCCTGAAAAGGTGATGGAAGCAGAATCCTTGAATGTTTTTAAGCAGAGGATAGTTACATCCTTAAGTAAGGAGGTGAAAGGTTATCAATGGGAGGTGGGAATGTGGGAATGTGGATGTAAGATTATAATCACTCCAGCCATGATCTTCAGCACTGACCCTCCGACAGTGCCCACTCCCTCAGCATTGATCCTCCGACAGTGCGGAGCTCCCTCAGCGCTGACCCTCCGACAGTGCGGAGCTCCCTCAGCACTGACCCTCCGACAGTGCGCGGCGCTCCCTCAGCACTGACCTTCTGACAGTGCGGCGCTCCCTCAGCACTGACCCTCCGACGGTGCGGCGCTCCCT